GCGAGCTAAATAATTATTAGCATTAAAATAATAAAGATGTCTATCAAAGAAATATAGCTAAAGACTCTGATTTAGATTGAATACGAGTGTATGAACTTGTAACTAACAATAAATGATGATGAAAAAGTGCAATAAAAATGGGACATTTAACGCAAGTAAAAGAAATGAACAAATTTTAGAATGAAGGAGGAATATGCCTACAAATTAAGTAGATGAAATACTAGGTCGGAAGTTAAAGCCTTAAACCAATTTGTACGAACCTCTTTGAATCAAAAAAGATATTTCCACAAAAATTCATGTCTCTTCAGCTCTAATGACTTATCCATTTATCTGAAGTTGGCGGACAAACTAATAAACTGATGTAAATTATCCCTATTTGTATTCGAATTAAGTAGAAACATAGTACAACACCAAAATCACTGATAACAAGTCGTAGTTACTAAACTAAAAATATTTCACTGAAGTTGAATATAAAAAGTTAGCATTGATGAACTTTGTAACTTAAGCTATCGATATATAAAAGCTAGAAAAAGTATAGTGGAATGCGTTGACGCAGAAATGAAACAATTTATATATTTTAATGAGCACATTAGTAGAAAAAAGTCATTGATATCGCCAGACAATTCATAGCCTATTCCATTCCTTATGATATATTAAGTAAGCCCTCAAGCTAGGACTAAGCCAAGTTATCCTGTGAGTAATGAATGGTGTAAAAGTATTAATAGAAAATAGTCTAATAATGTGTAGATCAAGCTTTTGCATTTTTATTTTGTTTTAAGTCCGGTGCAAATTTCTTACATGGACAATAAAACTTGACGAGAAGCTAGAATATTGTAAATGATGAAGGCTACTTAAGTAGGAAGCATCAAGCACACAGGAAATTATCAGATAGAGTATACCAAATTGAAAAGTACGCAAGGATAAAGGAATATATACAAAACATATCTATAATTTACACTTTACAAGTTGAACATAGACTCCTAATCGTACATGGTATTCCTTTTCATATAAACATAGAATAACTATGCTTATAACTGGTCAAATCCTGCTAGCCTATGCACTATTAATAGTAACACATATTTATGTATATACCTTATTTGATTAGTTTTCGTGTGAGCTAATTGTTGATTAAATTAAATATAAATTTAACAAACATATGTATGTAACGTATATAACTAGAATCCAAAATATTTTGCAATATATGTAGGAAATACAACGAAAGGTCAAGCAATGCAATCGTTCTGCTTAATGCGAAAATATATTTTAAACTAAAATCATAACCTGAT